CCTTGGTGGGCGGCCGCCCCGAGCCCCTGCGTCCCGACGTCGACGTGGACAATAACACACTGCGGCATGCCGGTGTGTCGCGCGTAGCCGTCGGCCATGGACATGGCCACCATCTGAGGAAACCGCATCAGCTCTTCCCGTGGGCGCCGCCATCTCTGTTTCTTTTTTCAAGAGGAGTCTCTCAACTCGTTGGGACAGGTTATGATCCGGGGAAACTTGCCCCTGGCATCCCTCTGCCCCTTCACCATGGCCTCGATGATGCTGGGGTGGTCCGAGCCTAGATTCACGAAACAATGCCGGCTTCCCATAGGGCCTCGAAAAAGGCAAACGAGGCCGTGTACATGTCGTTTGGATCTGTTGCCGCGGCTGAAGATGTCGGGGGTGCGTTGACCGCAAAGTTGGCCGCGCTTGTCTGTAGGGTTGCTGCTGAAACGCGAACCGGGCCCTGAACTGTTCGAGGAGCCGCTCTGCATTCAAAACTCCGGTTGCAGAGTCTAATGGCAGAGGGAAGAAACGCCCGCGTGGTGCGGCATTGTCCCAGGGCCGGCGTGGCTCGGCGGCCGTGTTGAAGAATCGCCACCATCTGATGGTCAATTAGCGGCTGGGTACTACACGAGCGGTACCGGTGTCGCGGAGTATATACAGACCATTGACGTTGGGACCAAGCTTGGAAATACTTGGTGTCGGTGGTGACGTGAAGAGTCGTCCTGGAAGTGAGTTGCCTCGGTCCGTACATGCTCGCCAAAGACAAATGGGCGGCTCCAAGACAACAAAACCCAGTGCCCGGCAAATATTGCATCGGAGGGCCCGGCCGGAGGGAGTTGACGTGGGGGAAATTAACTTATGCAGAAGTCGAGGCGCATCTTGACCCTGGCTAAGCCGTCGGCTATCAGTGGAGTCGAGAGAATCAGACAACAAATCAATATGACGCCTTTACGCCCTTTATCAGTCAAATATTCTGGGGGGAAGGTTGGAGAGACTGGTGGTATCAAACAGATCCGCCGATGAGCAACAGCCGTACAAGCCTCAAGGCATCAACTGCGAGTACGTGGGACCAAGTATTTGCATTTGATCCAACGCCAAGAGTAACAACAAGATTACGAATCTGAAAAGGCAGAATATGTGCGCTGCGTATGTACCATGTCCAGTTGGTCGCACGAGGATGCGGTGAGGACTAGTTCCCCGTTCCCAAATCGCCATGAGCCATGCCTCACGTGAATTGATCCCTCAATACCCGGATTCTACAACGAAAAAAAAAAAAAACAAAAAAACTAGCTGCGGCACAAGTCCACAGCCCTGGTTGCAGGTCCCCCGAAAACCCAGCGCCAAAGTGCTTAGGTACCTTTCGGAGAGGTATCTCGGCACTCCTAGGCCTTGCCGGCAGGCCCGACACTCTGAGGGTTGTGGAAGACATCGTTGGGATCCCACTTTGCTTTAATCTGGCCAAGTTTGGGCAGCTTGCTCCCCCAGTACGCCTGCTGGGCCTCGGCACGGCCAAGTTCGAGGTCAACGTAGCCGGCATATCGAGAATTGGCACCGGGCGAGCCCCTCTGGATAATGTCGTGGATGCCCTCGGCAAACTTCTTGTTCTTCTCACTCAGCGGAAGGCCAATCACATAAGACTGGTACATGAGGAGCTTGTCGCGGTGAGGATAAGAGGTAGAATCGGCGGGGACGTCGTTGATGGCGCCGCCCTCGGAGTCGAAGATGACGGTCCAGAAGGGGGTGCCGGGGTCAGCGGTGCCGGTGAAGTTGAAGAGTCGCGTGATGGTGTCCCGGGCGAGGGCGTCTTGCTGCCGCAGAGCGAGCGATTTGCCGTAGAACTGGCTCGGCATGTCACTCAGCGCCAGGGCGGCCTTTTCGGCAATGTGGCCGAGGGAGCCGAGCCAGTCCATGGCCTCAAAGCTCACCGAGCCGCCGGTCGGCATCTTGTCGTGGATGCCGGTGGCCTCGTACTCCTGCTTGGTGCCGAAGAAGGTGCCGGTGACGAGGGCTCCCAGGGGCTGGGCAATAAACAGGGTAGAGAAGCGCCTGTCCAGCTTGGGGTCGTTTGCAAGCGTCTGCCAGGCCTCGTATACCGGTGCCATTTCCTGCTGCTTGCCAAAGCTGAATGCGTACGTGTACTCGACGACGTTTCCCGGCGCGGGCTGCGTGCGGACGGTGAACTGCGTGACGATGCCGAAGCTGGCGCCGGCTCCGCGCAGAGCCCAGAACAAGTCGGCGTTTTCATCCTGGCTGGCCGTACGGACCTGGCCATCGGCTGTGACGACTTGGACCTCGAGGACGTGATCGAGAGCCGTCCCCCACATCCTGGACGACGGTCCGATTTCTCCCTAGATGGGTGTGTATTAGCATGGGAGAGATGGGAGAGATGGCAGCGGGTTTGCGTTTGCTCACAATGGTGGCGTGTCCGCCGGCGCCGACGCCTGGGCATGTGCCATGGGCCATGGCACGGCCGCCATGTTTATGTAGCTGATGATCGAGCTCGCCGAGCTTGAAACCAGCGCCAAAGGTGGCCTGCCATGTCTTGGTGTCCATGGTGAAGTGCTTAAAGTTGGCCATGTCGATCATGAGGGAGCCATCTTGGCCTCCCAGGCCATGGTTGCTGCGTTACAACAACATGTTAGTCGAAAACGGCCGGCATAACCCACGATAAACTCACCCATACGAATGTCCGCCCGACTTGGCTTGGACGTGGACTTTGCTCTGCACAGCACACTTGATGGCCTCTGCGACCTCGTTGGCCGTGTTGGGTCGAATAACGGCAACCGGCGTAACTTCAACAGCCAGGTTGTAGGGTTTTACCCAGGACAGCTGGTAGAAAGGATCGCTGGGGTACCCAACGCAACCACTGCGGCCGTGGCAGACTAGGTTCAAACATTGCTGCAAGGGAGTGCTGTGCCCATTGCCCATGGTGTCTGGACGGAGGCGTACACGGCACAAAAGGGAGGGGGTTGGTGGCCGTAAAGCAGGGTGATTATGGTGGTGCCCGACGGGGAGCCTTCGAAAAAGTAAAAAAACAAAAAAGGACTGCTCGATGGACACTCGGAAACGCGTAAGACGATATGAGACTTGGGGAGAAGCAGTGGTGTCTAGACACGGAGCCAACTCGGCGATGGCATACAGGCGGTATTGTCCAACGGCGCCCAGTAAGCTGCCCATTAAAACAGAAAACACGAAGAAGAAAGAGAAAGAGGGCCAGGAACAGACATGGGTAAAAATATATGTCTTATGGGAAGGCAAGTATGCTGCATAAGCGATAAGTGGCGGAGACTGGCCGGGGAGAAGGCAATGCAGGAAACACAGGCACCCGAGCGCCACGGGAAGAAGCAGCAGACGAATCATTCGCACCTTCTCCTTATGAATGGAAGACGTTGAATGTCCGGCTAACCAGTCTGTGAATCTACGGTTCACCGACGGCGGCTGCTTGGGGTGTTGGGCCGGGGACTACTGACACGACGCCTCGTCCGAGCAAGTCAAAAGTCGGTCCTGAGATTGGACGAAGTGCAGGTTGTCGATGATGAGAAGCGGAAAAGATCAAGCTAGAGCATATGCGACAGGGCGAAATCTCACGCTTGTCCATGGTTCAGTAGTTATCGCCGTCCCCCTCACGCGCAGCCCAAAGGAACATGTCCGTCTGGTCCATTTTCCACCAGACAGAATAAGAAATGGTCAACGAAGTAGTCCGCTAGCACTGATTCTCGTCATGCAATCTGAGCCCTTCAGCTCCTGACGCCCGCCGGCTAGTCACTGGTTCTTCACTTGGGCGATGCATCGAGACCCAAGACGGTCCCTTTTGCCCCAGAACCATACGACTCTTGAGTGGTGCCAAGTCTACAAGTCAGTACACGGGCATTGGATCAATTCCCATTCTTGGACGATTGGCGTTTCATGTAATAGGCATGCTTGTAGCTTCGAATCTAGGTTGGAGATTTCAACGGCCAATCCGGCGGAAGGCGTCAACGGTCAAGTTCTTCCTTTTTCTGGTCAACTAGCTTTCCCAGATGCCACAACCCTTGCAACACCCTTGGAAAGCTCGCTGATTGGAGCAGTTGTTACGCGGCAATCTGTTTGTTCCTCCGCCACTTTTGAGCCGTCTCCAGGGGTCGGCCAGTCAGAATCGAGCGCAAGTCGGCATCTCGTTCCACTGCTTGATGATTTTCATGCGTCAATTGATCCCTGAAGCGGGGAAGGTCCATCATTGATCTGCTTTTCAAGTCACGGGCCGCGGCGCCTTCACCTCGTCACTCGGATGGCATCTTGAACTTCGCCTCTCCCCAACCAGGAAACGAACGGCCCCGTGACCGGCTGTCAACGCGCGACATGCTCTAATTGCTTCGGCAGTCGATGCGAACGGCGTGGTTGCGTTGGGAAACCGGCGCTCATTGCAGCTTTGCTCCTTTGGCGCGGTGGCCGGGTCGCGTTTGGCGACACAAGCCGAATGAATCATCTCGCACCGGCATGACGTACATTCAGCCCACTGCCAAACGGTGACGTACAATGTGACCGGGCCTTGCAACTCACAGTTATGCCGAGATGGCAAGAGGAGGAGAGACAGAGGAAACACATCAAAAAGGGGCCGATGAAGGAGCTGTACCCGGCTAGGTTTCTTTTTCCCATTTCACCATTTCTACTCTGTAGAACTCGACTCCCATCGCGACCCGGCCGCTTGTCACGTCTGTAGAACGCAACGTGACCATCTCACAGAACCAAATAGTTCATAGTAACAACCTACGGAGCCCAGCCCCTACCAGCGGCAGACCCATGGAGTGATGAACACGCAAAATGTTGAGACGGTCCCTGTATAACAGTTCCGCGGAAAGAGTCGCCCCGAATGCGGTGATCACGGCATCAGTGACACCGTACAACCGTGACTTTTGTTCGTCGTGACTTGCCCATGAGTAGTAAGATTGAGCTATACTGCCTGAGTCGCCGCTTTTTTGAACTCGGCGTCACGGTTAGCGACATCTAGCGAACTGGTGAGAAGGCAGCAGAGGCCGAGCACTACATGGCTTGGGATACGCGTAGGACGAGCACCAGGCGAGCTTCTTCTTGTCAACGAGGGACTTTCCGTGTAATGCAATATTTCAGCCCAATCCGACTTGACTAGTGCGGCCACGGCACAGGCCTGGGCCGTAGAGACCGTCGTTGCGTAGCTTGAGATCCCATGACGGGTTGAACATGCTTTGCAGGCACTTTTCTGGCAGGCCAGACGTGGGCAGGACGTGGGCAGGACGTCGGACGGTTCTGCAACGGAAGAAGCTACTAGTATATTCGGCTGGGTTGGGCGATGCCTAGAGTAGTGACAGGCTGTGAGCGGGAAAGCTCTAGTAGTGACGGATGCCGATTTGGCCTAGTAGAGTGATTATATAGATGTCGTCAAAAACTATAATCTAAAGCCAATCAAGAACCGACTTTGAGCCTGTGAGGCGGGTTATCTGATCGTGGGACCGGGGAGGCTTCTCCGCAGCCCGAGGCGCACACATCCGGATTTAATCTGCAGGTGAAACCCAACCCGTCAACCTGTTCCTTCATGGTATCTCAACGGTAGCAAGCGCGGGGAAACCTTGCGTAGCCATTGGTTTTGCAAAAGCGCAGCCGTCAACCGGGCGTGTAGTTGCCCGTCGGGCTTCTCGGTTCCATTCGTCTTTTGTCATCGCCAGCCCAGCAAATATATCATGATGGGTGCGTGACGGCCACGATAATGCGATGCAGGATGCAGTTCATAGCAAGTCCTATGGGATCTAGAGGCATTCCAACGGCATCAACAAGCGGCCATCCACGTCGGGAGCCGAAGCATATAACCAAATTGCATCCAACATTCATTGCAGACATGAAAAAAAAAAACGCCAAATATAAAACCGCCAGCAAGTGCTCCCCTTCACGGCCCCTAATCGACGTTGGCCCGCCTCGAATATCGCCTCGCATCGCGCTGGTACTCCTTGTAACAGTCGGCACAGGCCCATACCGCAAACCCAACTCGAAAGACTCTGCCTCGCAATCAGCCCATGTCGCCATCAGGTAGGAAGCCAAAGGAAACTCACATGATGACGGTTAGCAACCACAGGCCCAGCCACGCCATGGTCGACCTGTGAAAGGTGGTTCCGCCGCCGTCTCCCTCTCCCTCTTCGCCAGCGTGCCTCGCCAGCTCGTGGACTTCTTTGCCCTGCACGTTGAACACGAGCATGAGCACGACGCCGCCGAGCGAGACGGCCAGCGAGAAGACGTCGAGCATGAGCGTCCGGTGCGGCCCCATGGACGCCACGCCCAGCGAGCGGTCGGCAAACGCGACCATCTGCCAGCTATCGTTGAGCAGGGCGATGACGGCCTACAGACCCCTTTATTAAGGAGTGCCCGGCATCGAATGGGGGCAAAAAGACTACTCACGCCGATGATTCCTGGAGCCACGGCCCCGCATGTTGCCGTCCAATTCTGCGCAACGAAGCAGAGCACCACGATGGCCGCAATGTCCGTCGCCCACGCTACGCCGCGAGCTGCTGTCCGCGCGAGCGTCGGCCAGCTCGGGAGGTGCCATGCCGCCATGAGGGAGCCTTGTGTTTTGCCAAAGTCACCATTCAACCGTTGTTTTCTCGCCGTGATGCGGTGGTGCTTGATCGTGTTGCGGTCGAGCGGTGGCTCTGCTCACCTGCTCTGTGGCTTGTACGCACGAGGGGATTCATTCTGTCTGTCAGCCTTTTTTGCTTGGCGTCTTGGCCTGCCTTGTTGTTCATGTTGCGTTGGGGACAGCCACAGCAGGGATGTTTTTGGCCGAGAGCCGAGACAGGAGCTTATTGGCGAGCACGATGCTTATTTGCCTTGGGACGCGTCGAGGCCAGACATGAGGGCGGCGGGCCCCCCAGATCCTGGGGTCTTTGGGAGGTACTCCGTATTCAAATTCAATTCAAGCTTAGTATTCACTGGTCCTCTCCGCCGAGAGGTTCAATCGACAACTGCTGCGACGAGTTTGCCGAAACCAGTCCGCCGTCTATTCAATGCCCGGCACCATGTCAAGATATCGTGCGGCTCTCTGAAAACGACAGAGGTTGAGCTGGCTGTGTGAAGTTGTGGCCTTTGATAAACCGGCGGGCCAAAAGAACAGCAACTGCTCTACTCCGTACAATTGGCCCAAGCCGTCATCGCTCTGCATTTTCACGCCCGTCGGGTTGCCCACGAGCAGACCCGCCACCGCATAGCATCTAGATACTTAATCCATTAAACGCTGCCCAAGTGTTGGAACTCCGTCAAAATGCATACTCTTCCACATGCAAATAGATACCCTGTGCGCCTGTCCCCTTGTGCACCGCCCGCTCATCACTTAGTTTGCCAACACAGTTTCGGGTCCTCGCCACAATTTCCTTTCCTCCGCAAACCACTACTGCCGTCTCCCCCCATGCCTGTTCGATGGGCTCACGGATTAAAGTCTCAACGTCTGGTCTGGACGTGTACTCGCGCACCATGTCGACAGTAGATGCGCTGTTGCGAGACGTGCTCGAGGATGAGTTCCTACTTCTGGACCGTCGACCGTCTTCTACTGATTTCCCAGAGTACGAGTCGGCTGCTTTTCCTTTTGTTGAGCCTTCTGTTGAGTCGTCCTTGACCTCCCGTCGAAGCTGAACAAGCGGTACTCCGGAATCGGTTTCTGAATAGCTGCCTGTGATGGCAATGTGCAACCTCACCTCAATACCCTTTGCTTGAGCGCTTCTGGCAGCATCTCTGGCCCTTTCCACGTAGTACTCCATCTCCTCCATCGTCCTCGCCACCAGTGTAATCTCCAATCTTCGCACACATGACTTGTTTTCTGAGTGGGCAACGTACTCCATGATGGGCACTGTGAAGCTGGCTCCCGTCGATGCTCCGATCAAAACAAGAGTCTCAAATGTCTCCCATTTGGTTGTGACTCCAAATGGCCCTAATACATATCCAGTCAAGGTCTTGGTCGGGTTTTTGACTGCAAAATTGTGAATGCGTTTCGAAAATCCCCCGTGTGACCGAACAATGAGCTGTATACTGCTGCAACAGCACGTTCCCTTGATTTGATGGGCACACGCAATGGTATACGGATGAGATTCCAACAAACCGAGCCGAGGAATCCACAAGTAGATGTGTTGGCCAGCGTGCCACTTAAAATGAACATCCTTTATGGTAAGGACGGTAACCGAGTCGCCAATGGCTCGTGAAGAAATGTCATGTCCCAATCGCCTCATCCCTTCACAAGCCGAGGTGCTTGGCTTCCATCGGGTATTCTGCCAGGCTGCCAATGCCCACCTCGCCGCTCTATCGAATGCCAGGAATGACACCGACATCCACAGTAAGTACCGTGCGTCGGCCGGAATGTGGAAACCGAGAAGCACTAGCATGGTGACAGATGATAGCACGTGTTGCATCAGCCAAATTTCGTACACCATTCTCCGGATAGGCACAAACCCGACAACCACATTAAAGAGCAGTACTCCCCATGCGCCGAGTCCGTATTTGACTAGGGGCATAACGGACAATTCATACTCAACAAAGTCTGCCCGTACCCATTCGGTCCAAAAATGCCAGCCGTGAACCGTCGCAGTGATAAACATGGTTCGCGCAACCCAACGGTGAAGCCAATTTAGTCGCTCGTGACTACTCCCAATCAGAAAGCCAACCACATTAAACTTCATCGAGAGGAGGAAGATAAAGGGCAGCTGCATTATGGAGACCCAAGCGTTTCGGTAGCCGATGCGTTCCCAGAAATACGCGTCGTCCTTGACAGCATTCCAGGACATGAAGTAGATAATCATGGCCCAATAGCAAAGAAGGACTATTAGCCTTCCCAACGGCGGCGGCGTAGCCCATCGAAAACCGACTTTCGATACGTATAATTGCGGATGGCTCATCTCGCGAGTGATGGCGGTTGCAGTAGCCCATGCCTGGCTGACATGATTCCCCGGTCTTGTAGCATGTTCTATCGAGGTTTCCTTGCAAGCCTTTAACCTGTTTTGAAGTCTTAGAAGGTATATCATATAGAAACTTCTTATTATGCGCTGTACCTTTGTTTACTTGTATAAATCTCTATGCCTCGAAGCGCGGTCAGGCCGCCAACCACCCCAGCAATGATGTACCAGTAGTCCCGGGCAAAGGCGTAGTTGTAATCCATGCCGAGGCCGGCATCATGCATGTGCATATCTCCCATATCCATGATTCCTGAGGATTCCGGTTTGCGATACCAGAGATCGAATGACCAGGGATACTCGATTTGTGTGTTTGTCGAGGACAATCGAGAAGAGAGCCGGAAGGCTTCGGGAGGGAGTTTGGCGGCGTGGTGGAGTATCGGCGGGCTGTGTCACGAATTCTGTCTGAACAAGCCGTCATTTTTTGCGCCGCAAATTTCGCGGTCAAAACCCAATTTCCCAAAGCCTGATGGCTGAAGATGAAACTTTCTCACTGTTTGACCAAGTTGGAGTTCAAGCGCCGACTAGCGATTGAGCGCATAGAGTGTCAAAGGCAGAAAAGAAGTCGAGGCGTCTGTCACAATGACCGACCCTTGAAGGCCTAGTTCGAGCATCTGCTAGAGTCATCGGCAAACATTTCTTCATCATCCAGCCCGCACTTGTACTTATGTGCGCCCCCCAAATATTCCTTCCAGGTCCCACTGCATGCAGAACAATGCGAGATGGGCAACTGTTCATCCGTCCTCAATGTGGGCTTGGGTCTGAGACCCCAGGACTGAGCTGGTTTCCCTTCCAGCCTAAAGCAACAAACTTGCTCAAACATACTCACTTGCCTTTAATGTGGCGGCTCTGATTGGTTTGTTGGTCCAAGCCCAACGCCAGACCCACCGCTGGTTCGTTTTATACTCCATATCCCGCACCGATTTGCCCCTTCAACACCATGGCCGCGATGGACCGCTTTGACTTTTGACTTGATGCCCGAGTTATTCTGCTCATCCGGAACGCCTGTGCCGTTGAACATGGCTAATTCGACACAGTGGCGCTTTCCTGCAGCAGCCCACGAGGCCAAGTTCCGCGATGCCGTACCCCTTGGAGCCTTGTGTCGAGTTGGATACGTCCCCATTCGATATGTTCCGTCCACGCCATCTAATATGTCAAGGTGGCACTCCATAGGCGAAGTGCAGCTTGACGGAGCTCGGCCTAGCATGCCATTTTCCTGGAGCAGTCCGTAAAACCGACCTATCCCCTGGCCCTTGTGCGACTTGTTCATCACACCCACCTCTCCCAAGCTTTCGCTATAAGGCTGTGACGCCCATCCCAAGCATCCGGCGTACTTTTCCATCGTCACCGTGTCCCATACGTCCTGTGTCTATCTTTCGCGCAGTTTGCCGATCCTATGATCATGAAGTCCTTTGCACTGCTGTCCGCTCTTTACGGCCTGGGGTCTGCCCACTTTCTCCTCAACTACCCCAAATCCATTGGCTTCGATGATTCGGGTGAAAGCAGTGCTCCCTGTGGCGGATTTACACCAGACTTGTCCAAGGACTTGGTCGACTTTCATGTGGGCGGTGATGCCATCTCCGTGAAGCTCACCCACCCCCAAGGCAATTGGCTCTTCCGTGTCACCACTGATGAGAAGGCTGAATCCGGTTGGGAACAGATCTTCCCCATTGTGCAACAGACGGAGCTGGGAGACTTTTGCGAGCCTCAAGTCACAGTGCCCAGCAAATACGCCGGCAAGAAGGGCGTCCTCAGTGTCGTTTCGTCTGCAACGGATGGTCTTCTGTACCAGGTGAGTAAACTGGTCGCTGCCCTGTTCCAGAACGTACTAATGTATGTCGTACCGTGTAGTGCGCTGTTGTCAACTTCGTCGACGGCAAGGGTGACAAACCGTCTGCCTGCGTGAATGCGTCAAGCATCAAGGCCTCGTTCACCGACGATTCCAAGCTTACTGCACTCGTGGGCAATGGCTCGTCATCTACACCTACATCTGGCTCTGGCTCTGGATCCAGCACTGCATCGAAGACGTCGGCTACCTCGACAGCTACACATACTGGTGCTGCGTCATCGCTTCATGCTTGGTCCACCACCAGCGCGGGATGGGGTGGTGCGTTGACTACTCTGTGCATGGCAATGCTGGGTGGAGCTCTGATGATTTAAGCACGCGGCCGGACAGGGGATTGTGAAAGGAAATTGTCGGGATACGGAGTGAAGGAGTCGGGGTATGCCAATGGTTTCTAGTAGCATGTAGCGATGAAATGCGAGTCACTTTGCCTCTTTACTCGATTTGCACCAGATTTGACGGGTGCAAACTGACATCTGGAGCTGAGCAATGGAAGTCGTGCTTCAATGTTGGCAAATGGCTCAAACCTGGCAGGAGCGGCGCCTGCGCCTTCCGCCCTTAGCGGTGCCAGGATCATGGACATCTTTGAAACTGAATTTCCTCTTGCTTTAGACCAAGCCATCTCCAAACTCAAACCCCGAGAAACTTCGTTTGCGTGCCATGGCCTTTCTTTTCGTTTACCTCTGGCATAGCCGCCTCAACACCCATGGGCCATTAACCATAGGACGGAACCAACTCGGCACATACATCCCGCATCTCCACATGATGGATCTCCAAGGACTTGCGGTGTCGAGCTCTTGTCCATAGACGCCTCTGATTGCACCGCCTAGAAGACGGTCCCCACTTCCATAGACTACCCCAACTCTTTGGCATTGAGGAATTTGCGGCATCGCGAGCCTTGCCCTTGACATCAATTGCGAGGCGGAATGCTTTGTTCCTTTTGGTTAGCTGCTGTCGCCTGCAATCTCTGTGCTTCTGACTGTATTTCTCCGTCTGGAGCAGTCAATTGGCGCCGCCAATGCATGGCCCGCTGCATGTGCGTATTTGACGAAAGCACCCCGCCAAGCGCCGGCATCCACGACCTAGTCACAGCAAGGCTGAACTATGCCACATGGACTTGACTTGATTTATACTTATCAATAGTATAAGCTAGACTTGGGAACGTTTGAGCCGTCGTACCGCTATCAGCCTTGATTTCTTTGGCATTTTTCGGCGTTCAAATTTCACGACGGTGGAAGCAATTGCTGGTGCGACTCCCGGTGGTGAGAGTATATAATTCGACGTCAACCTTCCCAGCCATGTTATTCTGGTCTTCTCTCTCTAGTCCCTTTGCCTCCCCCATCACTGAAGCTATTTTGATGATCATCAAGTCGCTCTTACTGTATGACAATTGTTCAACATGGCCGCCCTTATCATTGCTGCCAAGCCTGATTCAAAGAGCCTGTCTCCTCGCTTTCGCGCTGGTGGCCAGCTTTCAATCGGTGGCATCACATTCGGACCCAATCCTCGCATGTCAAATACCGATTCGAGTATCCTAATTACGCTGAGTTTAATCTCAGTTGCAACATTTTCTCTTTATGCCTTTCGCAATCGACTCCAGCGCCTCCTTCCTCGATGGCTTCAAACTTTTGCCGCGGAAGAAGGCCCTGGGCCGAATAAACGCAAGGCTTGGACACATTGGACTCTAATTCTTGCTTTCATCTCCATTTCTGGCTTGATCCTGTCGGTTGTACCGATTTGCCTGGCCCCGAATGAGCGCCGAGGCATTCTCGATATTGTTCCCTGGATGTCGGCTCTACTCATCACTGCTTTGGACCGGCCCACTAGCACACCTCGGATTTTGCTCTTGCAGTATCTGCTCATCTTCAGCTCCGGTATGGGAATTTATTCTGCCCAATTCTTGGACCACCATCTTCGGTCCATCGACCCATTCCGCATTGCAAAACTGGCTCTCTCTTTGTTCGGTATCATTTCGATTGGCAGTATGCCGCTTCGAAGCCCAGCTTGGGATGCTAAAGATATTGGAAACCCGAAGCTACCCCCATCTCATCATGTCCGAAGCCCGGAAGATAACCTCACACTCTTCACTTTCTGGGCTATGACCTGGGTTTACCCGCTTGCCCGGCTCTGTCGGAAGAAAGAAATCACCGTCGAAGATGTGTGGCAACTACCATATGATTTCCAACATACACGCCTCTATCTAGCCTTCCGCGAGCTCCAGGGAAAGCTCCTCCCCTGCCTGATCGAAGCAAATGGTCTCGATTTATTCATTGCGACTATTCTTGCTATCGTTGAGAAAGTCGCTGAGGTATCCAACATTCGCCTCACCAGCCGGCTTTACAGTGCGCTGGACGATGGGAACCCAAACGAAGCCAACTTTTGGTGCGTGGTAATGCTATGTGTGGATTTTGCGCGACAGGTCTCCAAAACGACATCCTCCTGGTACTCTCGCAAGGCCTATGAAAGATCTAGGGGCGAGACCTTTATTGCCCTATTTGGCAAACTCCTTACCCGAGCCGTCCCAGGATCAGATGTCACCGAGAAAGGTCCAGAAGAAGACAGCGTCAGCACCCTAACAAGGCCAGATAGTACTTTACGAAGAGGATGGCTTAGCTGCTGCTGTGGACGCAAACACAAAACCAAGTCGACTGCTACACAAGCAACCCTTGCATCGAATGCAAAGGTGGTCAATCTTGTTCGCGGAGATACCTACGAGATTTCTCAGCGCTTCTGGGATTTTCCAAAGCTCATGTCGCAGCCAATCAAGGTTATTGTTACAATTTACTATCTCATCGACATTATGGGTTGGCCGTCCTGTGTTGGTCTTGGACTCATGATCCTTTTCCTGACCAGCAACTCACTCCTCGTTCGCAAAGTCCTCCAACTGGAACGTTCCAGGACCGCGCACTCTGACAAGCGCGCACAAGCTGTGGCTCACTTTGTGGAAGCTAGTAGACCTTTGAAGCTCAATGGGTGGACATCTTCTTGGAGTGCTAGAATCTTCAAGTTTCGAGCCATGGAGATGCTGAAGCGACTGCAGATTGCACGGGTAACTGCAGCGATATCTACCACAAATGTCGCTGGAGGCTCGGCATACCCTTTTGCCAGCATTTGCCTATACACCCTGATTCTCCGACAGGGTCTTCCAAATGACGTTATTTGGCCGTCTTTGCAGCTCTTCAACCAACTGGAGGCGAGTCTCAAAGAAGCGTTCGATCTTGTTACTGCTTATTGGAAGGCAATAATTCCTGTCGAACGTGTCAACAAATACATGGAAGAGCCGGATCGAGACGAAGATTCTCTCGGCACTGCAGACGCTAGTGATATCGAATTTCATGGCGCCTCATTCGCCTGGCCCTCCACCAATCACTTGGTTCTTTCTCAGCTCAATCTCAAATTTGGCAAAGGACTCACAATTATTCGAGGAAAAGTTGGCTCCGGCAAGTCTAGCCTCTTGCTTGCAGCCTTGAACGAAATGGAGTTGCATGGTGGCGATCTTCTTCGACCAGATGAACCGGTTGGTTATGCGCAACAGCTTCCATGGCTACAGAATAAGACCATTCGAGAGAACATCGTCTTTCATCATCGTTTCGATGCCGCCCGATACCGACAAGTCCTGCATGCTTGTGCGCTTGGACCTGATCTTGCAGCTTTTCCAGATGGTGATCTTACCAAGTTGGAGGAGGGCGGTGTTGGTTTATCTGGGGGCCAGAAAGCCAGAGTTGCTTTGGCCAGAGCCGTATACAGTCCATGCAGAATTCTTCTTTTGGATGATCCTCTCGCTCCGTTGGATCACGACACTGCGAGCAATATTGTTCGGCGCTTTTTGCAAGGCCCTCTGGCCAAGGAACGCACTATTGTGATGGTGACGCATCGCGATGACCTGGTCCTTCGCATTGCTAACCAGGTCATTGATATGGACGATGGGACCGCTAGGAGGCTATCTCAATCGGAAATCAAAGACGAACTTGAGCATCCCTATCATGCTACGTCTCAAGATACCTTAGTGGAAGAACATGAACCGACTCATGAAACCCACGAAGAGGAGGGGGAAGATTTGCAGGAGGCACCGGAAGAGCCTTCGGAGGCTGGCAGCGTGCCTCTTACAGTCTATTTGAACTATATGAGGGCTGGTGGACTGTATATGTGGGCGTTCCTAGCACTGTTCTACGGAATCTCCAGATACTGCGATGTCTCGGAAGCGTCATTGCTTGAGTCGTGGGGAAATGAAACGGCAAAAGACCGTGTGATATCTACGAGAGGATATTGGAACCTTCCAAATCCCCAACAACATCCGCAAATCTGGCTCGCGGTGTTTGGCGGTCTTGCGCTCGGACAGGCCATATCATACGGTATCGCCCAACTGCTGCTAGCTAAGATCTCTATCGATGCTGCCCAAGGTATTTTCAAAACTGCTATCGGCCGAGTGAGCAAGGCCACCTTCAGATATCATGACACTACACCCACCGGACAGCTCAAAAACCGGCTCGTTTCTGATATGGGTATGGTTGATGGTGGCATTCTGGCACCACTGGAAGGCTTCGTCTATAATTTCATTGCTCTTGTTTTGAGCATCGTCGGTATTGCAACACACCAGCCAATGCTTCTCATTATTCTTAGCGCCGTGGCTGTCCTATTCTTTTTTTTTTTTAGGATCTACGTTCCAGTTTCACGCAGCTTGCGACGCATGGAAATGCGATATCTCACTCCCATCATTGCCAATATTGGCGTTATGCAGGACGGCCTTGTCACTATTAGAGCGCTTCGGGTAGAAAGTCGTTTTCAGGACCGGCACTTGGATGCAGTGGATGACTTCCAGAAGCAGGATCACTTTTTCTGGAGCATGGCTTTCTGGCTCGACTTTCGGCTCAGTATATCGTCTGCCTGCACTCGAGCTGCTCTGATTATTTTCATGATTTGGCGTGGCACTCCAGCAAGCGCTATTGGGTTTGTGTTGACGCAGACGTCAATTTCTATGGCATCTATTCAACAGCTTTGCGAGAAATTTGCCCAGCTTCAACTCGACGCAGTATCGCTGGAGCGTGTTGGCATGCTTGACAAGATCCCAGAGGAGCCGAATGGTGGCGAGGAGCCACCTGAAGATTGGCCCAGGCCATGTGACGACGTCAAATTTGAGTCCATGTCCTTCAAATACGCCGAAGGACTACCCAATGTCCTTAAAAAGGTCACTTTTGAGATACCTGGAGGATCTACGTGCGCGGTGCTAGGTAGAACTGGGTCAGGAAAGTCCACCATAGCCAATGCACTACTGGCGACCGAGACGGCGTCGGAAGGCACTGTGAAAATTGGCGGCATGGACCTTGCCAAGGTCAACCGCACTGCTCTAAGAAACCGTGTCACCTTCATTCAGCAAGACCCTACACTGTTCCCGGGAACTCTGCGTGATAACATCGACCCAGAGGGCAAATTTTCCGACGAGGAGTGCGAAAATGCGATTCAAAGTGTGCTTGGGAAGGAATGGGGGTTAACATCGCAAATCGACGCTGGTGGGAAAAATCTTAGTCAAGGACAGCGGCAGTTGGTTGGTATCGCACGCGCGGTTTTGCGCAAGAGTGGACTAGTTATCCTAGACGAAGCGACAGCATCAATCGATCGCGGGACTGCGGCCACGGTCCAAAAAGTGCTACGAGAGGAGCTGTCCAAGAGTACTGTTATCACCATTGCTCACAGACTCGAGGCTGTCGAGGACGCAAATTGGTGTCTCCGCCTTGAAAAGGGTCAAGTTTTGGACTGTGGCCCGGCAAAGGACCTCGGCGCAAAGAAGGCAAAAGAGGAGGAATCGTGATGATAAAGGTATATCAAATAGCAAGGCTGCTATATGCTACCAAATATGTTGCACTTGTTAAGCGGTGATGGACACCTGGTAGCTAGCGACAGCCATCCTTGAAGATGGGCGGCTTTTGGCCAAGGATTGTATGGCCATGGGTACAGCGAAAGGGAACAGCAATGATGGAGACATGACATGTGGCTTACAATGATTTGGATAAAAGGGTTGGTGTCTGGATACCCAAATAGTGCCCATCTCACAAGTATTTCATGAATTGAACATCAAAATACTGAAGCTGTCCCTCGTGCCTCACAACAAGTGGCCTGAGTTTTCTCCGTCGCCCAGAAGCCGTGCCACTTGTAGAAGACGTTGTCCGGATCATATTTCTTCTTCAACACTCGCAATCTGGCCAGGTTCTCTCCAAAGGCCATGTTCGGGTCAATCTCACTTCCTGCCGGCTATTACCTTTTATCCCAGCAAGGGCCAACCCAGACGTTGAAACTTGCCGTCATAATTGGTATACTGCCCACCACTACATTGGTATCCATTCTCGCGCAATTTCCCCAACAGCTTCCTCTGAGAGCGTCTAATCTCCCCGTCCAACTGTTCATCCTGCCACATGAAGACTGTGGCGAAATGGTAAAAGTCGCCTCTCGAGCGGTACGCCGTTGCACCCCTCGGGACAGAAACAATATTTTGCCAAGGCAGACATTCAAACGTGCACATGGATCCCTCTCGAATGCCGTTGCCGTCGACAAAGGCGACAAAGTCATCAGCTATGCCCTGTACAAACCCTGCATCCAGGGGCATAACAAAGCTTGCGCCGCCCTGAAGTCGACGCACGCGGTCCTCGGACCTGGGCACCAAGTCGTTTGCCTTGTGGTACGGCATTTCCCTCGCCATGACCTCGACGGGCCCCAGGTGCAAGAGCGGCTTGTCAAACTCCTCGCCGTCCCTTTGCGTCCCGCTCCTGAAGAGCATGCACAGGACGACGGGGCCCGCGGCGCCGGGTGCCGAGCCGCATATGCCCGACCAAAAGGCCTCGTTGCCGGTGCTGTTCTCGTGGAACAAGTCGGTGAGCCCGACGACAGCGGCGAGCCTGTCCAGCGTGAAGACCACGGGGCCGACGTAGACACAGCCCTCCGGGTATGCCCTGAGCGTAAACCTGGTGACGACCCAATGCCGCCCTGTCGTGTTATATATAGACACGGATAGAGTAACTGGGGGGACGAAACTTATATCAAAGTTCTGCACGGCACCGCGCAACGCCCAGAACAGGTCGTCGTTCACCCGCTCCGAGGCCGTCGCGACGGCAAGCGGGATGTTGTTGGTATGAAGTTGTCATGGCAGGGGCGGGCTCACTTACACTAGGTGCGTTGAGGAGCTGGGTCCGTTGGCCTCGGTGATGGTACGGGGAGTGTCTGGCGTCTTGGAATACTTGCTACTTTTCTACGGCGAGGTACTTGATCATGTTCGCTTCCTCTGCCCTGGATTATCAGCCTTCAGATCAAGTCAGGGTCGAAATAGTTTGCGACGCAGATGATGATACGCATAGAAGCTGAATTTTGATGTATTCGTTTCTGATCCCTGACGTGGCTACGCGAAGCCTTGCATGCACGTACGAACCCCCCCTCATACATGGATGTATTTTGCAACGGCCTGGATTTTGATGATGATGATACGCTAGTTCAGGTGAAGCCCCTAGAATGAACTTTCAAACCTCACACTGCATCAATCAATATGAATTCCGCAGTGCAAAAACACATCTCAAAACAAGGCAGGTCAAGGCCCGTCACTGCAGGTTGCGGAACCGCAGAGCCATAATGGCCGGAATCTGCGTATAATTCGCAGACGACTCGGGCCGTTCCCTGATTGCGTCCGTCTCGTCAAAGTACAGCTCCTCCACGTTATCCATGACCAAGCCCGTCTTGAAAAAGGTCCCCAACAAGACGTCAAGCGGGCGATGAAAGTAGAGCTACGCATTTCCTCATGAGCCGCAATCCTCACCGCCGCATTCTCACACCGCGGGGACCCCCAGGCTGCTTACCTGGAACGCAGGCTGGCCGTTGACTGCGACACCTCGCCAGGGAGCCTTTTCGCGATACTCGCGGATGACTTTCCCGCGGGCGTTGTAGTATTCGCCAGTGGCCTCGTTCGTGACGACTTCGACGAAGCGCGTTGCCCCCGAGGTGAAGAATATGGGGTGCAGCAGGGTCGCGAAGAAGCTGCATTCAAGAGCTGTTAGCACAGCGTACACCTCGAGACTGTTCGCCAAAGACGTATTGCGGGATCAAACGCACATGCCGCCCCTTTTCAAGAGCTTGGGCAGTGCATCCGCGAGCGGCTCGAGGTCGGAAATGTCCATGAGTGCCATGTTACACGTCACAATGTCGAACCCCCCATTCTTCCAAGCAAGCACATGATTAGCAGGCACCAACTTGCCAGTAGATAATGCAGTCGTTGGGGTGCTTTTCTCTCTCACCGCCGGCTCCGATTTGTAAAGGTCCTCAAATGCTTCGGCAAGAGTCACATCGAGAAGGCGATACGAGATGCGTTCCGCCTCCTCGGGCGAGCTTCTCTGGGCGGCGCGTTTTATCATGTCTTCGCTCCCGTCAGATGCAATGACGGAGGCTCCCTTGCCTGCCAGCCAGCGCGCAACGAGGCCGTTGCCCGTGGCGAGGTCGAGGGCCCTGCAGCCTGGCTGCACGGGAACCAGCCTCTCTAGACTGGGCTTCTGAAGCTGCTGCCAGTACTTGTTCCCGTGAAGGCCCATTGTCGTGTCCCACCATTCGGCGTTCTCGATCCAGGAACTGTGGATGCCTCGTTGTTTGTCGGCGTTGGATGCCATCATGTGTTGGGAGCTGCCGGACTACCAGGGTCTTTGCCTACGCAATCGAGTCGCGGGAAATAAGGACACAATTTCCGGGTCGAGTTTCGTGTGCCCAATGTAGTTTAAGTATGCGCGCGCGGGTTCTATTCGTGTTGGGCCCTTTTTGGTAGGGATCGTAGCAATTGGTCATCTTGATTGGCTGGCTGAGGTGTTGGCAACGGCTCCGGACCTCCGGTGACTCACTCGGCACGGAATGCCTGAGACACCTTCCCGAGAAACTTGGAACCAACTACCAAGTTAATAGTGTTGGCAGAGGTATACGTTCTCTAAGCAGGCGAACCAACGTATCCTGTCGTGTCAAGGTCCAAGAAGCATTTCTAGCAAACGCGCGCCTCAGATTTGCATCTATACACTGCAAATACCAGGACATGCTTGTGCACCGCTCAAACGATCGACGTGTCGACCACTGGGTTGAGTATCGGGGTTCCAGCTGCTGGCAACTTGAGATGCTCACATGAGGCTCAACAAGATTGAACAAGCTAGAATCCGTGTTTTTTCGTTCTTGAATAACAAAAAAGTAACATGCACCGACAAGAAGTTTCCATCAACGTTTGCCGCACGCCAGAGCTGTAGGATCAACAAACAAGCATTTACTGTTCTGTCTGCATGTTAAAGTTGTAGAGTGATCACCTTATCATTATATTGATCTTATCCCCCAACCTTCAGGTTGGGGGACTAGCTCACTATATATACATGTGCCAGAGTGCCCGTATCGTTATCTCCACGTGACTACTCGCCTATTCCAACACTGCAAACAACCAGCGCACATGGCGCATCACTTCCTTACACCCTCGTGTCTTCCGTCCAGCATATAGAACTTTTCCTCACTGATATTCCACCGTCTCTCGACAGCGTCAAAAGCGTCAGGACGGCGAGGGTCGAAACGCACCGCAAAGGGCCCTGGAACCTGGAAATCGCTTTCGTCCCATGCATCTGGACCGGCGTCGATTGCGTCAACGCGCTCGGGGAAGCACGGTGCCTTTTGGAATAGCGTAGCCCTTGTATTGGACGTTGGCCAAGGATAAACGACTTTGGCTTGGAAATTTGTCTCAAAAGCTGCGTGCTGTGAATGGCGCTGCGTACATCCCCGTGCTCCCATGTGTCTACTCGGGAGATGCAGCAACTAGTTATGTGAATGCTGAAGAAATACTGGCGTACGTGTTAATGTAATTGCTGTCCATTCGCGTTTTTGAAGGCAAAGGCATATAGAAGCTGCTTGGTCCCAAACTCCTGCGAGGGGATGAGCTTGACTGTCAGCGTTGTAGATGATATCGTGTGGATAATGGCTCTTCATGCGCACCACTTTTCCCTCGGGGAAGTTGTCTTCATCCGCATACGACCAGCGGCAACATTGTGCGCGAGGGGAATGAGAGGCCAGGACGACGCCGATTGCTTCTCGCACATGTCCCTCATTGCCTCGGCGCTATTGATACCTACCTACCTAGGTAGTTATACCAGCCTACCCTGATCCTGTACACTTCGCCGTACTCGATGGCCCATTGACCAAGGATCTTGAACGAGTCATGGGGTAAACCAGGCCCGATACCAACTATGGGCCAGCCTCACGGACCGGCCACCTTGTCTAAGCGCCGATCTCTTGGTATCATGCCCAAGGAACTACGGCTGCCACGCCAACAAGAAGTGGAATGGTCAGTCTGCATACTATCGCGAGAGCGGGAGTCGTATCCATGATGAGACGTTGCTTCGGCCGTCTTTTTGCCTTGGTCTGTAATTTAATTAGTCGTCCACTCCTGAAAGAATAGTCGCCGAGTTTAGACATGAGGAGTCATTTATCATATCAAGGGATCCAAGCCGAGTCACCCCAGGCTAGGCACCGTCAGCTTTGCATGGTGATACTCAGCCGTACACCAGCAAATAAGAAATCGATTGATTCCTAGTATTGGGTTCCCGAAATAAGCTGACCCGTTGTTTGAACCTTCAAGACTTTTGCCCGTGGCACCGAGTGATGCGGAATAAGACCCCGGGGAATGTATCACAGCCAATCGAGATGAACTTTTGGTGTCTGGAAGTATGCTCTATGCTCACTTTCGCGGCGATTGACAAGCTGGAATTCGCGAAGAAAATGCCCTAGCTAAATCGAGACCATGTCGAGCATCTCCCGAGAAGTGTGCCGAAATCAGCGCCGAAGGCTCAGACAAGCTCCGGCCTCGGTAAAACTAGCCTTTCAACTGCCGTTGGGGAAATCATTTCGTTTCTTCAGCCAAAATTGGACCTTCTTGGCCGCCTTGCTCATCTTCAAGGTCGGCTCAGTGCTTGCAACTGCAGTCTTCCACACTGCTCATTGTTTGTGTATGTATTCCTAGTCAAGAATTGTAAAGCCTACGATTTATGAATGAACTTGATATTGTACCGTTGTGGGTATTGGCTGCGCCGAATCCCGAGCGGTGGCCTCATCATTGTTGCCAACACCTCTCCGATGGAAAAATGGGCCACGCACCAAAACCTTTGCAGTGGGATATTTGCCATCACCGCGGTTATTGCGCTTGGTTGAGGGAGCGTTTACCGATGGTATCAGGCGTTGGTGATTTTGTACTAACCTTCCACTTGGCGCTATCTCGGCTGTTTTCATTGTCCTCACGCCTCACTTGCGAGGCCCAACCCTATCGAGGAGCAAGGTCTTTTGAACCTGATTTGGGACCTGGACCCCATTGGGTTTGTTTTGTTCTTACCTACTACCATTTATCTCCTGTTCACACTCTAAGTACGTGCCGTGCCGTTCTGTCAACCTAAATCGAGCCGTCAACTTATTCCTTGCGGGGAGGTGCGACATTTGCGTGGGACAGCCCCCAGATAATTGTGCTATTTGTTATTTTCGGCCCAACTCTGTTTGGTTTCATGGCCAGTCAAGTTTGGCTTGAAGAGTCCGGAAACAGTATGCACTTCCTCTCATATCAAAGCTTTAGATCAAGTCCGTATACCTGACCACCCCCTTTCCGAGAAGTTCCACCCTGCATTGCCAAAAAGACATACCGTCTTTGCTGCCGACGACCCTTGTTGCTGTCGAGACCTGGAAGGTGCTCAGCCAGGCGCAAGACTTCCTGCCGTCCCGAAGCGGCACACATGTGCGCCTTACAATCAGGTAATGACTGAGTGACTCTTGTTTACTAGTCTGAATTGAAATTAAGCTGAACTAAATACCCACCGTCCAGTAAATGGCCATCTCCACTACATAAAAGCAAAGTTTATTACAAACGGACTGCCGTGCAGAAGCACATATTTTATCACGTGAAGGCAACAGCCAAGTGTCTTTCTCCTAGTTTTTATATGACATTCTAATATACACGTCTCCGAAGGACTTTAGCCATTCGTGACTCTTAAAGCTGACGGACAGTTTGAGGATGGGACAAAGGTGATGTCACTTGGTTACACGAGAGCTGCGATCACGAGACCTACGGCATGAAGCCCTCATCGCTTCTTGTATTCACAAAACTCTTTAATCAATTAAGCTTCAAAAAAACCAAGGTCCTTTAATAATAAAGCCTGTTATTAGATGAATTGAGCTATTGACTTTAAGCCCTCACCGAACCCTTGCCACAGCTGACCCGGCTGAGAGACTGTGGAGCGCATCTATTTATTTGAAGCACTGGGGACTCGAGACACGTCACAGCCGCTGCTTGGCACAATGCGCTTACGTCGCTTAACTAAAGTGAATCAAGGGCTTCCCAGGCCTTGAGATTGTTGTGTGTGCAGGTACTCGAGTAACAAGGGGGCTCTGACTTGAATGAATATGAGCTGGCACTGAAGAAAAGGCGGCAACTATCGTACAAGCATTACTGATATTTCTCTATAAACTGTTCATATTATTACAATACGATCTGGTGCGTCCCTTTACGTGTTTACATTTACAGGGCATAGTAATGAACCTTGTAATAGTGAACCTGTCTTGAGAGATTTTACACATGTACCAATTTGAATCGGAAATGCACGGACTTGCTGACCCCCACTCGCTCTCGGGAATAACTAGTCACCTCCTATTAGCTCCAGACCCGCTTGCCATGTCGGGGTCCCAATCGTACACATAGGGGGATGAGGACGCGAGTAATGCATGGCCTTGGTTAATACTCCATGGCCCAGCAACCTTGCCTCGACAACCTGACGACACAATGAGTTTGACAGGACCTGACAAGTATGTATGGAGTAAATTGATAATGCGTGCCCGGACTTGCCGGTCTTATATATAGACATTGGCATTACGGCGTGACTCGTACTACAACAGGCCTATGCATTACCCTGCAGCGCCCGTTGATTGAAGAACGCGACGTTGCCCGTGGAAGGAATTTCCTCAAGTTCTTGTATCTGTATACCACCTTGCTCAACTCTTCCAGATCTATTATTCGCCCTTTACATTTGCTCGTACGCCAATTGTTGCCGTTGAAAATCCTCGAGATGAAGTCTCCCTGTATTTTGCTTGTTGCTTGTGCGGGCTTGGCTCTGGCCAGAGATCCCCCAAGTGATGATGAAATGAACCGCCAAGCAGCGGAAACCTGTGCGAGAATGGAGAAGATTGACGTGGATAAATGCAAGCGCGACGCCAAAAAATGCGTTACAAGTGCCCTAGACAGAAAGGTCGCGTCTGAAATTGAAAGGGGAGACGACGTATTCTGGAGCCACATCCGGCAATGCACTGTGTTTTCCAACTTGAATGCCGACGGAGACGTAAGTAGAGATTTCATGGCCAGCCCGGTGCGATAACTAACGCCAGAATCATACCAGACGCCCAAAAACTTTGTTGCCGCCTTTGGTGACGATGGCCTCCGATTCGTCTGCGACCCGCCAGCCAATGTAGGTCGTTTTTTTTCCGAAAACAAGATGATCTTTTCGCTAATATTGATTAGGGGAGTGACCTGGATTGCGTCTTCATCTCTAAAGACAGAGTCGCGAGAGATTGCGTAAATCAGGACTGCCGCATTCCGCGTGAGCTGCCTGATGTTTGCGCCAAATCCGGCGGAGTACGTTTTTAAAACAGCATGGTGAGTCACCATGACAAGAATATACAAAGCTAACATGGCGACCAACTCTAGTGCGAGACGTGCGAGCATGGTGCCAGTTTCAGGAGTGAAGGCAGTTTGGAGGACAAGTTCCCTGGGGCCGTAAGTGATCAGCATTTGAAGCCTTGTCCCACGCCGTTTGCTAAATCGATGCCTTTCAGGACCCCTTCTCGTGCATTCTTCGCCAGAACAAAGATGGTACGACCCAGCCTGCGCCGACGATCCAGTCCACGTCAACGATCCAGTCCACGTCAACGATCCAGTCCACGTCAACGATCCAGTCCACGTCAACGATCCAGTCCACGTCAACGATCCAGTCCACGCCAACGGCCCAGCCTGCGCCACCAAACAAGAATCAGTGCAACGACCTACGCATGCAGACATTTACAGAGTGCCGACAGAGAAAGCCAGATGACTTTGATGCGTGCGTCAAAGAAGGCCAAGATGCGTTTGTGAAATGCGAGGGGTCGCCTGTAGGCCAGAATAGACAGAATACCTTGACGACATCGACCCGGCCTGCGCCAACCCAGCCTGCGCCACCAAACCAGAATCAGTGCAACGACATACGCATGCAGAAGTTTACAGAGTGCCGACAGAGAAAGCCGGGTGACTTTGATGCGTGCGTTAAAGAAGGGCAAGATGCGTTCGTGAAATGGGAGGGGTCAAAGTGATGCCGCACATAAGAGTAACCCAAAATGTCGAGGGTGACCTGAGTTCCCTTGGTCAAACTCGACGAGCGGTGAAAATGTCATTGTTTTGGTCTGCACTGTCAGCAATAGTATAGACATCAATCGATAGGTGGCAGCGCTTTTAGTCAATTGCTCTATGCGCGTCTTCATCACATGAAAAATGTAGAAACTTATTCTAGCTCAAAGCCTATTTTGGCGCTCGTGCCACGTTCAAATCAAGCAGCTGGTGTGACGGTAAAAGGGCATCGAGATCGAGTGAGACTTGGATGTTGTAATGGGCACGGGGCTTATACAGCCAGAAGCATGCTTCGAAGCCAACAAGTGACTAGTTACATTGCAGACAAGAGCAACTAGAGCCTCTCGAGGCTGATGAGGCAATGTTACACGGAAATGGCTGGTTACACAAGGGCTACGGTCACGAGACCTAGGGCAAAGTCCCTCACCGACTTCTTGTATTTATAGACACCTTTGGTCCCTCAAGGCCTTGAGGAAAACCAAGGATCTTTGATACCAAAGACTTTTATTAGATGAATTGAGCTATTAGCTCCAAGCCCTCCTTGAGCCCTTGTCACAGGCAAGTTGTGTGACCTTGACTGGTAAAGTAGCGACCGGGAATTCAGATGTTCATTGGGAAACCCTACTTTTCAAAGAGTAAGGCATAGTCATTTCGACTCCCCGACGTCTTCCAGCTGTACCTATTGAACTAGCTTGGGACCGTCCACACTGTAACCAAGTGGCCAGAGTTAAAATCACAACTTGATATTGTTGTAATGATCATGTTGAAAGCTATCTAGAACCTATCTAGGGAGAAAGGAAATATACAGTGCCGTAAAGTTTGTCAGTTTGTCTTTTAAGGGTAACCGAGTGAATCACAGCACGGTTCCCTATGTTTTTCGGTTGTTCCTACTTCCATCACTTACACATGCAGCGGGCCCATCTCATCCTCCGTGCAGGCTATGGACTGCTTTCTCCAAGCATCCTCGTCAAGCTGTGCTCAGTACGCGGTCTCAGACCGCTGTAGTATTTCCCCCCCAGCCCCCAGCCCACAGGCTTCGGTCAATTATAACCACATTTGCAGTATCAAGGACGCTGGCGTCCACACGGTTACACAAGGGCTACAATCACGGGACGTAGGGCACAACACTCACCGATTCCTTGTATTTATAGAGCCCTTTAATCCATCCAGGCCTTGAGAAAACCGAGGACCTTTAATACCAAGGACTGTTATTAGCTGAATTGAGCTATTGCTCCAAGTCCTCACTGAGCCCTTGTCACACTCATTGCTCCGTAAGGGCTGAGGACATCTGGGGTGAAAATATAGGCAAGGCCTCCCAGAAACAGAGTGAATTTGGGCTGTGTGATTGGCGTTGGGATAGTGCAATTCTTTTTGAAAATTTTTCAAATAAACTTTATTCTCTGATTAATTACATGGTTGCAGTCCACGTCAACGATCCAGTCCACGTCAACGATCCAGTCCACGTCAACGATCCAGTCCACGTCAACGATCCAGTCCACGTCAACGATCCAGTCCACGTCAACGATCCAGTCCACGTCAACGATCCAGTCCACGTCAACGATCCAGTCCACGTCAACGATCCAGTCCACGTCAACGATCCAGTCCACGTCAACGATCCAGTCCACGTCAACGATCCAGTCCACGTCAACGATCCAGTCCACGTCAACGATCCAGTCCACGTCAACGATCCAGTCCACGTCAACGATCCAGTCCACGTCAACGATCCAGTCCACGTCAACGATCCAGTCCACGTCAACGATCCAGTCCACGTCAACGATCCAGTCCACGTCAACGATCCAGTCCACGTCAACGATCCAGTCCACGTCAACGATCCAGTCCACGTCAACGATCCAGTCCACGTCAACGATCCAGTCCACGTCAACGATCCAGTCCACGTCAACGATCCAGTCCACGTCAACGATCCAGTCCACGTCAACGATCCAGTCCACGTCAACGATCCAGTCCACGTCAACGATCCAGTCCACGTCAACGATCCAGTCCACGTCAACGATCCAGTCCACGTCAACGATCCAGTCCACGTCAACGATCCAGTCCACGTCAACGATCCAGTCCACGTCAACGATCCAGTCCACGTCAACGATCCAGTCCACGTCAACGATCCAGTCCACGTCAACGATCCAGTCCACGTCAACGATCCAGTCCACGTCAACGATCCAGTCCACGTCAACGATCCAGTCCACGTCAACGATCCAGTCCACGTCAACGATCCAGTCCACGTCAACGATCCAGTCCACGTCAACGATCCAGTCCACGTCAACGATCCAGTCCACGTCAACGATCCAGTCCACGTCAACGATCCAGTCCACGTCAACGATCCAGTCCACGTCAACGATCCAGTCCACGTCAACGATCCAGTCCACGTCAACGATCCAGTCCACGTCAACGATCCAGTCCACGTCAACGATCCAGTCCACGTCAACGATCCAGTCCACGTCAACGATCCAGTCCACGTCAACGATCCAGTCCACGTCAACGATCCAGTCCACGTCAACGATCCAGTCCACGTCAACGATCCAGTCCACGTCAACGATCCAGTCCACGTCAACGATCCAGTCCACGTCAACGATCCAGTCCACGTCAACGATCCAGTCCACGTCAACGATCCAGTCCACGTCAACGATCCAGTCCACGTCAACGATCCAGTCCACGTCAACGATCCAGTCCACGTCAACGATCCAGTCCACGTCAACGATCCAGTCCACGCCAACGGCCCAGCCTGCGCCACCAAACAAGAATCAGTGCAACGACCTACGCATGCAGACATTTACAGAGTGCCGACAGAGAAAGCCAGATGACTTTGATGCGTGCGTCAAAGAAGGCCAAGATGCGTTTGTGAAATGCGAGGGGTCGCCTGTAGGCCAGAATAGACAGAATACCTTGACGACATCGACCCGGCCTGCGCCAACCCAGCCTGCGCCACCAAACCAGAATCAGTGCAACGACATACGCATGCAGAAGTTTACAGAGTGCCGACAGAGAAAGCCGGGTGACTTTGATGCGTGCGTTAAAGAAGGGCAAGATGCGTTCGTGAAATGGGAGGGGTCAAAGTGATGCCGCACATAAGAGTAACCCAAAATGTCGAGGGTGACCTGAGTTCCCTTGGTCAAACTCGACGAGCGGTGAAAATGTCATTGTTTTGGTCTGCACTGTCAGCAATAGTATAGACATCAATCGATAGGTGGCAGCGCTTTTAGTCAATTGCTCTATGCGCGTCTTCATCACATGAAAAATGTAGAAACTTATTCTAGCTCAAAGCCTATTTTGGCGCTCGTGCCACGTTCAAATCAAGCAGCTGGTGTGACGGTAAAAGGGCATCGAGATCGAGTGAGACTTGGATGTTGTAATGGGCACGGGGCTTATACAGCCAGAAGCATGCTTCGAAGCCAACAAGTGACTAGTTACATTGCAGACAAGAGCAACTAGAGCCTCTCGAGGCTGATGAGGCAATGTTACACGGAAATGGCTGGTTACACAAGGGCTACGGTCACGAGACCTAGGGCAAAGTCCCTCACCGACTTCTTGTATTTATAGACACCTTTGGTCCCTCAAGGCCTTGAGGAAAACCAAGGATCTTTGATACCAAAGACTTTTATTAGATGAATTGAGCTATTAGCTCCAAGCCCTCCTTGAGCCCTTGTCACAGGCAAGTTGTGTGACCTTGACTGGTAAAGTAGCGACCGGGAATTCAGATGTTCATTGGGAAACCCTACTTTTCAAAGAGTAAGGCATAGTCATTTCGACTCCCCGACGTCTTCCAGCTGTACCTATTGAACTAGCTTGGGACCGTCCACACTGTAACCAAGTGGCCAGAGTTAAAATCACAACTTGATATTGTTGTAATGATCATGTTGAAAGCTATCTAGAACCTATCTAGGGAGAAAGGAAATATACAGTGCCGTAAAGTTTGTCAGTTTGTCTTTTAAGGGTAACCGAGTGAATCACAGCACGGTTCCCTATGTTTTTCGGTTGTTCCTACTTCCATCACTTACACATGCAGCGGGCCCATCTCATCCTCCGTGCAGGCTATGGACTGCTTTCTCCAAGCATCCTCGTCAAGCTGTGCTCAGTACGCGGTCTCAGACCGCTGTAGTATTTCCCCCCCAGCCCCCAGCCCACAGGCTTCGGTCAATTATAACCACATTTGCAGTATCAAGGACGCTGGCGTCCACACGGTTACACAAGGGCTACAATCACGGGACGTAGGGCACAACACTCACCGATTCCTTGTATTTATAGAGCCCTTTAATCCATCCAGGCCTTGAGAAAACCGAGGACCTTTAATACCAAGGACTGTTATTAGCTGAATTGAGCTATTGCTCCAAGTCCTCACTGAGCCCTTGTCACACTCATTGCTCCGTAAGGGCTGAGGACATCTGGGGTGAAAATATAGGCAAGGCCTCCCAGAAACAGAGTGAATTTGGGCTGTGTGATTGGCGTTGGGATAGTGCAATTCTTTTTGAAAATTTTTCAAATAAACTTTATTCTCTGATTAATTACATGGTTGCGATACGAGGGAAGCCATGTTCGGGAGGGTTTGGTACACCATGCAGAGTTTTTTGGAATTAGCCCATCAACATTCTCCTCCGTCTTACTCCGTACACAACTGTTGGTAATAAAATAGCAATTTACATGGCGGAAAAGGCGGTTATTGGGGAGGCTTTTGGAGGTCTCAATTGAACGAAGTTAATGATATGGATGGTTGACGAGGATCTCTGTTGAAAACCCTGAAAATTGACCCTTCCTATACCCTGTGGGAGCCCCCGAAGACCCCTGCCGAGACCCTCCATCCGAGCCCCGAGCCCTAGTCTGAGCCCTAGAAAAAGCAACTATAATGACCAAAAGCCTCCAAATATCTCCTTTTTAACCCAACAACAACATGTAGTGATGAAGAATACAACTTTTCCTCATATTTTTTTGTGTAGATTAGCAAGCGCCACAAGGACAAGGACTTTAAATATCAAATGCTACTCCACTAATTGACCATTTTCGACTCTTGCCAAGTTGCCAAGTTGTTCCACAGTGGCCTAGTCCAGGCGGCTGAGTTCGGTGCAGTTTGTGGACATATTCGATCCCCACGCGGCGTTGAGTGTTATGACCCCCACGCGGCGTTAAGTGTTATGACCCCCACGCAAGTTGGATAGAAGCCACCTGCGGCCCGTTCCGAGATGCCCCACTTGCCGTTTGTGACTATTCACATCGTAGCACCAGACAATCGAGGTGCCGATAGACATTGTCCTCCCTGACTGTCTCGGGGAGACGCGGAGCTCTGAGGCCAATCCGCATATCCATGAGAGTTTATCAGCCGAGTTTAACAAAGCGTGCTGCGGCAAAAAGTCCTGTTTTGGAGGAAATTATTTGCCCCCAAAACACTCAGGATACACTCTACACAAGAAATGTCAGAGATGGTTGTTCTTTCGCCTCCATAGCGACGCCTCTGGAAAAACTTCATTATGCAGCGGGCGCACTCATCGTGCTATGTGAATAGCCTTAATAAGGGCAAGGTTGAAAGAAGAGAACACTGTACTTGAATGACCTGTGTGAAATCACATCCACGGCCGGCTGGGGCCGAGTGGCAGAGTATAAGCCGAACCAGGCCTCCGTTATCCTCTTAAATTGTATGGTCCCCCGCCTAGTCTTGACCAAGCTAACTGTAAACTAGGCGTTTAGGTGATGGCTGAATACCGGATTAGAAAGTGTTATGTGAAGGCATGGCCTCCCCGAAGTCGCGCTACTAGACTTGCGGCATTATTCCAGTTAGAAAGAGAAACAGGCAGCTAAGGTTCTGCACCTTCGCCATCGCCCTAAGCTTACGACGGTACTAATCAGCTGCCGTAGATAGGAGATAGCACACGTGAATAACAATTAGATCCAGGCGCTCGTGCATTCTCAAGTCAGCTGCCCAGCGAAGAAAGTCCTTAGTACCAGTAGTTCTGCCGCTATAATTACACCTTTAGCTATAAGATGCTTCTGCGTCCCGAAATGTTGGCACTCAGGCGCGAGAATTCTCGGTCGTTTTCTAGCTACTGCTGCTCGTGTCCACTGGCCATCTCTGCCGTCCTCGTTATTTCCTGTCTTGGTACTGTGGCTAGTAGCTAGTTTATAAGGCGTCTCGTAGTTTTCGGCATCATTATTGCCAATTATCGTCGCTCCTTAAGTCTAGCTTAGCAGTTCTCTACGACCAAGCTAGAACTAGCTGAATCTACTTAAAATCCTCAACGAGCTCAAGGTACGTTTCACGGTGCGTCACCTCCACCCCCCTTGATCTACAGAAACTCCTGCTTCTGGCTGCCAGCAATATCATCCTCTAGTATCTCATACTGCCGTTGGTCAAAGTGATTGTTTTGTATCAAAGACTTGCCCCGCTGCGTATGCATCAGGCCGTCCCCGATAGTGCCCAGCAGGACTGTAAACCGAGCAGTCTCATTCTTATTCTCATTCTCATGCCTGCCGTCGCAGTCGCTCTGACCGGCTGCTTTGGACATCAGAGATCCAGAGCAGGTCTTCCGCGTTGACAGTCAACTCAGCTACCATGCTAATCGGCTTGCCCATGTGGTGCATCTGTTGTGATTACAGTCATCTATGAGCAATTTGCACGGCGGAAATGGTGGTATTTGGAGCATCTTTGGAGCCTCGATTGAGTCAATTGTCGATGTGTCTAGGTCTTTGTTACGGGCCCTAAAGTCCCTCAGATTCGTCCATGTCCCTTTTATACCCCGTCGATCCCCTGAAAATCCCAGTCGGGCTGCCCTTGCCTTGAAAAGCAATTGTCACGAGTCACGCCCAGCTTGAAAAAGCACCTTTGACCTCAACAGCATCGCGTCGTCTAGCTTGCCCATTGACACTATCAAGCGGCTGCCAGTCTGACGTAATTCATGGGCGAGTATCCTGCCTTGCAGAGCCAGGAGTCGGATGACGGAAATGACCAAAAAAAAAGTCTCTGGGTTAGGGTTATTGGGAATGCATTACATAGGACACAATAACTACTATTAAATAACCAACATTAAAAAGAAGAAAAAAAAACCGAAATAAAGCAATACAACGACTTCTCATGGCGAAAGGCCAATTGCAAAGAAGAATAAACCTAGTTTCGTTGTTGACTTTGCACTGCATCAGATGCTTGAATGGTGCCACTTGACGCGTGTCGAGTCCCAAACGCGTCAAGTCGCGTTGGCGCTTCGTCGTTGCCCTAGGCAGATGGTCATAGTAACGCACGTCTGCATGCACTCACTCGGATGCATGTTGGACATTGTATGTCTAGATTGACCATCTCCCTCCCGCCTTTTCATTTCAATGTTCCTAAATGGACATTTTGTTGGTCTTCAAATGGGCTGGGGTCTGGTCCTCGTGCCAGGTGCCGCAGCCACAGACGCGCAAGTCCCGAATCGTTCGACCACCTGCGTTTGCGCAGGGCCCATCTCGGATCCTCCCACAAAAACGTCAATGACGAATTCTGGGCCGATACAGCACCCCAAGATACTGTGCTAAGAGCCTAAAGTTGACCACATCTATTCAGACACACGCAGAGCTCATCGACGACATTCTCAGGCAAGAGTCACCATCTCAATGGCGTCGGTCGCCCATCAAGAGGTTTCCGGGCGGAACGACGAGGGCTGTGCCCCTTCACTCGTCGCCTACGAGTCGGATACCGACTACAGCTGCGACTCGTTCGACTCTGACGTCGTTCTATCGAGCATGGAAGCGTGGAACGAGGCTAGGATAGCTAACTCTGTGAATGCACAGCCAACGCATCCATCGACACATGAGCAGGGACAAGTCAAGCCGCCGCAAATCGCACAAGACTTCTCAGCTCGCGGGGGAGAACGTATCGATAACACCGAACCCAATCTGTGCCAGGAGCAGCAAGACCTGATCGATTTGATTGCCAGCGGCCGCAATGTCTTCTTCACAGGCTCTGCGGGATGTGGCAAGTCCACCGTCTTGAAGGCTGCTGTTAGGAAGCTCCAGGACATGGGCCGAACTGTCCACGTCGTGGCGCCGACTGGCCGAGCAGCCCTTCAGGTCAACGGTGCAACGACGTGGACCTACATGGGGTGGACGCCTGATAACCTCAGGCTTTCCAAGAATAAGCTGATAGATTTAGTGTTCCGCAAGCATGTCCGGAAACGTCTCAAGAATACCGACGTGCTCATCATCGACGAGATAAGCATGGTCGAGAACCACCACCTGGAGCGTATAAACATTAGTATGAAGGCGGCCAGGCGATGGGGAGAGGACGCTGCGCCTCCGTTTGGCGGAGTACAGGTCATCGTGACTGGCGACTTCTGCCAACTGCCCCCGGTGAAGCCCTTTGAACATTGCATCTTTTGCGGGCAAAAGACGGAGGCTAACGATTACGAAACCGAGTTCGATTGCCCCAAGAATCATGGGCCGTTTAAGGAGCGCGAGAAATGGGCTTTTATGAGCGAGGCCTGGGAAGAATGTAAATTTGTGTATGTGGAGTTGAAGCAGATACACCGACAGAAGGATCAAGACTTTCTAAAGATGCTGCGGAAATGCCGACTTGGGATTTCATTCTCGCGAGAGGAGACGGAAATCTTAATGAATCATCCGTGCCACGTCACCAATGCCACGCGACTCTTCTCGACAAAGGAGGAAGTGGCAAGGACCAACACAGACAATTTTCGTAAGCTGCAGACTCCAATAGTCAAATACCAGAGCTTGGACGAGTTCAATTGGTGCCAGGATACTCATCCTTATTTGAAGCACTACAATAATCGCTCCCCAGACGGTTCCCTGGTACAGCTCAAGGAACACCGCCTAGAACGACAGGTACAACTAAGGATAGGCATGATCGTGGTGCTACAAGTCAATCTCGACCTCCGAGCGGGGCTCTGCAACGGCAGCCAAGGAATCATCTGCGGATTCGAGGACTATGATCCTGCCAAACTCCCCAGAGCCAAGTCAAGCACGCGCTCATCATCTGCTGCGGAATCCGCCACCATATACGGGGACTATGCGTCTCTCAAAGAACGACAAGTAGAGCGCTTCATGGCCGGACAGGAGATGAAAATTTGGCCCCGAGTGCTCTTTCATAACGGCCAAAAGCGCACTATTTACGCAGAGTGCACAGTCAACTCGTTCGGCCACAAAGAGCCTTACTCACTCTTGCACCGCACGCAGATTCCCCTGATGGCCGCCTGGGCCATCAGCATCCACAAAAGTCAGGGGATGACGCTGGACCGCGTCATCGTCGACGTTTCGAAGGCATTCGAAGAGGGTCAGGTGTACGTCGCCTTGTCGAGGGCGACGGGTCTGCATGGGCTCAAGATTCAGGGCAGCCAGGAGGGTCTGTCGGTTGGGCGCGGAGGCAACGCCGATGTCCAACTTTTCTCAGGGAGAAGTTTGGATCCGGATCCGGGCTCCCGTCCTTATATCCTTGAACGGCCCATGGCTTTCAGGTCGCAGCTGACCGTTCGGGGCGAAATAGCAAACTGGCTAATTGTGCTTTGCCTGTTGACATCTCCCGAACAATGCTGATCGCTGTTGGCCGTAAGAGAAGGCCAAACCTCCAAGGCTCGTAATTCTGTTCGACTTGTTGGACGGGACACTAGTGTTGTCGGAACTGTACGCCATCAGGCCCCCAATATGCTCAGGGTAGAGCATCACACGCTATGCAGCCATCGTGTGGCAGGCATCCATTCTCGTCAACATCTGGAAGCTACATAGACACTAAGAGATTGACGACTCTCTTATCCGGGTAGCATGTAACACATATAGCCACTAGGTACATTGTGGCGAACCTATTTCCTCCCTTGATCTCGCTGACACTAACTCTTCCGCTTGGTTGCGACTAGAAAGAACATTGCTTGTATTATATACTTTTAGAGATATACTTGTATTGTAATATACGTTATAAGGTTTCCATCTCAATTAATCATATTACATTTGATTATAATGCAGTACAAGGTACATTTGCATCCACTATATTGGAAAATGTTTATAACAAGATCAATAGTGTTATGGCTGCTTCCCGGGAAAGAATATTCGTATATCAAGACCTTGAATGAACATGTACTAGCGTAGCGGATTACCGAGCTCTTAAGATTTGTAGTATTTTGTCGATGCTCTCGCCCATACAATCCTTGCAAATCGCGAAGAACGAGGGGATGTGTAGGATGCAGGATAGTGAGTCGTACCGGGTGGTATAGACAGCACCATTACCTAGATACCAAGGGACGGCTTGAGATGATGCTAAGAATATGTTAGGCTTTCGTTCACGAACCCGACTGCCAGGGCTCAACATACTTGTAGGCTCTGGCGGTCGGGTCAATGATGTTGTGTAATCTAACGCGGTATAATGTGCCGTGCGGCGGTCAGATTTGATTGCTTTTGACGCATTTTGATGCGTGTATTTACAGTCTGGTATCTTACTTGGTATCCTTAAAAAAATTATTGAAACTTGACTCTGATAAAATAAAATTATAAATTATTACTCAAGCAACCAAGCCCAGGCCTCAATCCAGACGCTCTTCATACTGCCTGCCTATATGTGGCCTCAGTATTCAACTAACAAGCTCCATACTTCAAATGGCACGGACTCACAGAGTCGGGCTTTTAGGCATGTTGCTCCCGGTTCTCTCAGCAGAAAATTTGGACCAGACACTATCCGATGTTTCTTCGACGAGGAAACCAAAGGCATGTCCGGAGAGGCCCAAACCCCGTCTCTGTTGTCGCGCCGCAATAGCCGACCGGTTGCGTGCACGCCGTGTCGCATCCGCGACATGGCTTCATGTTGCCATCATCAACGCCCCGTCTGCAATCGATGCCGCCGACGCAGACAAACGGCCACAGCCTCGTCCACGCCGGCAGAGCAAGCTGAGCGCAGGCCCGAGGTTCCAAACGACCCGGTTCTTCCTCCCCCACCGGCAAACTCGGCTCCGTCGACTCCCAGCCCTGGCTTGACATTTCTCTTTGCTTTGCGGTGCTTGTCCGGCCCGTCAAACGAGCAAATCGTATACAAGGACGGGACAGAGCAAACGTATGGCTGGGAATACATTGCCGTGAGCAAAATCATAGAGTCCGTAGGAACTGCCTTTGGTGACATCTGGGCTCGGGGCGATGCCAGTCTTTCTACCATGGCGGAGATGCTCTGCAGCAACACCAGACGCCCGGCCCTAATGCGACCAACATTCCAGTTCTCGAGCATGGCTTGACCAATTCTGCGGCAAGAACCTCGGATGGGAGTCCATTGGTCCATTGTGGGCGCACGTAGCCCATGTTTCCAACATCATGGACGCCATGCGCCCCGTCAGCTTAGGATTCATCGACGGCAAAGACTCGTGGGAGACGGCGCGCGCGTCAGCTGACGCGGCACTCTACCGACTTGCTCCTCGACTTGTGTGGGCGGTTTGGAATCCTATGCTCGGTGCAAAACGGGCCCTCGTACAAGGCCTCCTTGTGCTCCGAGAACAGGCGGCGAGTGGCCGCCATGGTATTCGCGGGCGACGATCTTGGAGTAGCATTCACAGGGCGCCCGCCTCTCATCAGCTGGCGGTATGGCTCGACTCCTCTCCAGATCGACATTAGTGACGAGGACCTCGACGGCGACGAAAGCCACGCCTCATCAAGGCCGTTTGTTCTCTGGACGAACAGGGGTGGAACGCCGACGGCCGCATATACCCGTGTACGTTGATCAGGATCAGGGGCCGACCATTATCCGCGACGACATGATTGTTACCATGGACTGGGGGGTGTTTACGCAGCCAGACTTTGACTTTCAGCTGCTTGATGCGTTTGAAGGGATGCGCACTGATGGGCAGTGATGAAGGAGGTTGCCCAAGAATGCACTGTTGTCATGTATACACCGTGCCATGGCAGTTTGAATCGTATTTGAATAGTCTCTGCTTGCGAGAGATGTGATTCCTCGGAAATTTTGTCACTTTTCCTTTTCTGTATTGCCATTCGACACGACAACTTTGCCTCGCAGACATTGCTTGTATGGGAAAAAGCCGGTATTTGCTGACCATGCTCAAACCATTTTCCAGCAGATGTTCATGCCCTAGACAAGACGCTTTGCATGGCTCTTCTCTCATGACAAGTTGTTGGTTTTGGTCTTGGAGGGTTACCCAGTCATGTTTTGGCCATATCTTGCATCAGAATTTAAACTCCGTCAACAGCAAAGACGCAGCATAGAAGCCAATCAACGCCTGGAGTTGCTGTGCCGCACGATTTTCAGCCAGTCGCCGCCTCGTGTCGGCCTGCATCCCGCACCACGTAATGTTGATGCCGCGTCCGTGGCCGTCCCTTGTCAAGACCTTGTCCCCGTCGTCGGCAGCTCGTGGTCGAGTTGCGCGGGTTTAGCAAAGATACAACAAGCTGAAAGGTGACAGTCAGGCCCATCCATCGTTGATGTCTAAGCTGGGAGTTGTGGACTGCCCATTGTTAGATGGTGCCAACTTTGGCCTTATTCTTGCGTGATTGTCGAAATAAGGCGAACCATGTCTGGTGAGAAAAGGCGAGTGGAACGATGGAGCCATGGCACCTACACACAATAAAATAATGGCACATGTGTATTCACTGCGGCCGATATGCCGTGTACATGGGACATGGACGCTTAACAAGTCAAGTCGGTATCCATATCTTGGACGTCAAGTATGCCCGTCGTGTTCCGCCCAGGCGAACCAGGAACACGGAGCTCGCAAAGCATCTGCGACATGGGAATAACATGGTCCAAGTGCTGGTGGCTGCATTTGTTTACTATTTCCGCCTCTGAAACTCACTTGGAACAAGCACTCGAGGTTTAATGAATCGTTTCCAAAATACTCGGCATAGAAGCGACACCATTACTGCAGCCTAGTCTCACGAACCCGAGAGTCCCTTGACGCAATTGCAGAGTTCCAATTGTTCTCGCATGTTCCAGGCATTCCCGTGAGAGAATATACCCCTTGGCCCGCGCATGGCCGCCATGTTTCCGGCCACGGTGCTCAGGCCGGCTGCGAATCAATGCTCTGTGCTGACATTGATGTCTTTGTTGCCTCATTGGCGCATCGTGCCACAACGAAAACAGCCAGACACTTCGTATTTCGCCGCATCGGCCCTTGACGACGGAAACACGACGGCCAATGGCCCGAACCTCGCGTAATACAGCATGCAGGGAGAAGATTCTAGACCACCTTGTACGCTCTTCCAAAGCGCCGGGACGGACGCAAAAAGTGCCATTGATAGCACCGCGTCCCTTTTCGTAAACGGCGCACAAAGGCCCGACACGGCGAGCTGAAGCCTGAAAGGTATTCTTGTAAAGCACAGAGTAGAGCGTGGCCCTCTATCGACTGACTTTCAGCGACTGAAACATACATTGCCCACCAGACAGCATTCGTTTGTTCTCTGCCTCTCGCCATGTCCGATGATGATGATGAGTGGTCTCTGGCATGTACACCCGCCACATGGCCGGCTCGACGCAAGTCCCGGGCTCATCAGCAACGCGGCCCAGCCAGTGCCTCGAGTCGATCCCACCACCTCGTCTGTATCTTGTGGCGACAATAGCCAACGGGCGCTCGAGTTTCTCGTATTTGTCTTGAGCGAACATGTCCATCTTGTCATGAGCGTCACGACGGGTGCAACAACGATGCAGGTGCCACTGCCACTGTAGCAACGGGCTCCTCCGACAGATTAAAAAAAAAAGAAGAAGTAAAAGATCTGACGGCTCATATGCCACACGACTTCGTATTCCCGTGAGTGGGCGCCCTTTTCATCCTTCCGACTCGTTGGCGTGGATGGGTTTTGAGTTTGACAGCAGGTCTGCCCACATATAAGATGGTACCGCTTCCCAAAACAAAAGAAGCACAGCAGCATCTTGGACCACGCTTTCCGGAACGCATCTACTTGTTCGTCTTGCTTTGTACAACAGCCGTCTTCCACACCGCATCAGTCATGTACTCCAACATCATCATCGTGGCCGTGGCCGCCGCCGCCCTCTTGGCCCCCTCGAGTGCGCTTACCATGCGCAACAAACACGTCGGTGACTTTCGTCTCTTCTCGCACCAGGGCTGCTTTGACGGCAACCTTGGCGTCTGGACCGTCATAGACGATGACGTCGCGCATCAGCCCTGCCAGCCCATGAACGACATTGCTGTTCACTCCGTCAATGTTAATGCCGTGAATGGCGCTTGCAAATGTAAGTTTTGGCCTCTGTAACCTCTGCGGAATTACTCTGCGCCCTTGTGAGAGGTGAACTGATTGCTTCCACAGTCTCCCTTTACGAGGATGCGGATTGCAAGGCCGGCGGGCAAAATACCACGCAGGGCAACTGCTACAATAGCGCTGCTGGCTGGAAGGCGTGGAAGATGACGTGCTAGTTCGGATACTGTCCTTGGAGACGAGTCAATGTTTTGTTTTATTGGTGTTGAGCTCATCCTGGGGTGAAGCACGTGGTATTGGCCGGGGAGCCATCGCGTGGACAGTGTATGATGGATCGCTTCACGGCGTGCGCCTCTGCATCGAGACGCTTAATATTAATCTGCTGTTGGCTAAAGCAGCTACCGGTGCACACATGTTTGTTTAATGCTTGGCCTCTGGGTTTTGCCGCGGTGCGCCATGCAGCCAGCCAGCTTGTGTACCTGATGACGCATCTCGGAGCCCGGCGAGCCCGGCAAACTACGTACGCGCGGCCCTCGTCGTGATGGATTTTTTTTTTTTTTTGTTTGCCATGGCACAAAAGAGCGGGAATCAAGTTCCATCTACCGGTGGCGGCACAGCCCGCAGCCCTGATCTGATCTTGCGCGTAACGAAGCCCGGCGGCCCGGATCTCAAGACCTGGGCACAATCGCCCTTGGGTTTTGGCCGTCAACTTGCCCTTGATTGCAGATTGGCTGTGCCAAACTCGATGGAATCTGCGCCGGAATAGTTCAGCTTACAAGGGTCGACTGGTCCATCTACGAAGCAGAGGCTGCGTAACCTCACCTTTTGCACGAGGCTTGTCCTCACCTGCCATTGTCTTCTCCACCGTCTCACAGCCAAGCAAGCATGTAGTGTGCGGTCGACCTGCATCGCATCGGTCGCGACGCATACACCAACTTCAGCATGTCTCTTCTGTTGGCGGTCTTTTGATAAAAGGTGGCGCTCTGCGGAACCAATCCTACACTTGTGGCCCTGGTTGAGACTGCCCAGGCCAGCCCCGTGAGTTGAGGCTGAGAGAGACGAGCCAGACTTTTGTTTTGCTTCTTCTTTCCAGCTCTTTGCATAATAGCAAGCACCATCAATGAGTATATTCAAGGGGGTTGGCTTCCAAGAGGCGTTGAGGCGGTGCCCGGTGACGACTGATACGGAGTATCCCAGGTAGTTGTTGGAGCGCCATAGATTCAGGCAAAGGCCATGTGGTGTGCAAGTCACCTATTAAGCCAGTATAACTGCCGGTGTAAATAGTTGGGCCATTCCTGAGAATTCATAGTTTCAAGCAAGTCCTTTGTCCTCGGACCGCAAAACACCATTAAAGTATACTTCGTTTACTTTACGGCATCTCTCGCTCAGGACCGTCGTTACAACTCAACTCATCGTCCTTCGTTATGAACCTTGTCATTCTCACTGTTTTCTCTGCTTCTCTGGCTTCCCTTTTCGGGGCCTCGGGCCTTTCCCCCCGAGATGCCGCCGAGGCTGCTTGTCCTGATGTCGGCCGCCAGCCTTGCGGTACACTTTGCGTCGAACAATCCCATACCTGTGGTCCCACAGGGTGTCCTATCCATTCCGTCTGCTGGCTCGGGGACCATGGACTATATGGCTGCTGCCTTGCCGGGAAAGGCTGCCGAGTCTCGGGGGGCTCTGACATCACCACCGACACCATCAGTGTTCCTGGAAACACCAGCGCCATCACTACTTCCGAGCCAACTTCACCTGGAGAGGATAGGACTGCTATTGGTGAGACAATCGCCGCTGAAACCACAACACCTTCAGTTGCTGGTCCTACTGGCGCCGTAGCTCGCGTCCCGAACACAACAGCAAACTCCAACGCCACAGGGGCTGCTGCTCCCACCGCGTCGAGCCCTCCTATTACCGCTGGAATTGCGGCCAATGGCCTCGCTGCTTCTGGCCTGCTGGGGGTCGTGCTTGTTGTATTTACTTCCCTTCTTGAGGTGCCGGCTTGGGAATCGCAGCGAGCTCCCTAGAGCAAAGGGAAATACGCTACTTTATCGCTGATAAGACGTTGGGGGTAGTTGAATCATCAGATGGCTGGCGGCGAATTCCGCGAGAGAAATAAGATGGAAATACTCACGGCATCAGTGGTTGAGCATCAAGGTAAGCGCCAGCTTCACGATGTGTGACACCAAAACATGCACAACCTGCGTCTGTAGAGTAGGGATCCCATAAGAGCTGTGTCAACTTACACCCCCATGTATTGCTCTTCCACGAAGCACTTCTGGCCCGCCCCTACAGCCCTACCACGCTCCGTCGAAGAACAAGGCCACATGAGTAGCCACACGTAGAGTTGGGCAATCGTCACGCAGACCTTGCCGAAACGCTGCCCGGACCACTGGTACTCGTACGCCTCCTTCAACTGCTCCAGCTCAAACAGTCTCTTGTCAACCACGGGCCTCGGCGTCTCCGGATTGCCCTCGACGGCGAGGCACATGTCCTCCATCTGCTGGCGGCTTCTGACCAGGATCCCCCTCGTGGTGCACAGATTGTGCAAACACTCGAGGAACCCAGGCTGGTCCTTGGTGTCCTGGCCACCTACAAATCCGACAATGGTGATCAGCCCCGATACCTTGACCGCCTTCAAGCTCTGCTCCATGGACTTGGGCCCGGCAACCTCGATGATGTGGTCGAGGCCCACGCCGCCGGTCCCCTGGGTGAGCACCCACCGTCCCCGGGCGACCGGGTTGTCCAGGACGCCGTAGAGTGCGTCCACGCCGTGACCCCGGCGTCGGCTTGGGTGAGGGGGCCGCCGATGTGCTCCTGGCTGGCGCCGTCGGAGCCGCTTCGGGAAGTAGGGCCTTGACATAATCGTGCTGCTGGTGTGTCGGTGTTGTCTGGTAGACTGTGGTTCACTGGCAATTAGCAAGCATAATTGATCATTTGACGTAGCGTGGTTCTCCATGTCGCGTCCATTGTGGGCATTCCGAAATGCCGTGGAAATCATCCTCACTGATCAATGTCGTCATGGTTTGACTATACCATCATGTCGCCAAGTACCATGTATGAAAAGTTCGGAATTGATTGAATTGTTGTCAATTGATTTCCCCCCCCGTCGAGCTGTTTGCCACTATAGTCAATGCTTCCAATGAACCCGTGGTCCAGTCATGATGGAATCTGGCGCGCGTTGATGGCCAACTCGTCCCGCCCACATCCATACGCACCGGCGAGGCGCAGCGCCAACTATTATCTGTGCCAGGAACCAAATGGCGCCGCCGTCAAACAAGGTTGCAGCCTGCACATTGAGTCGGTGCGGCTGCTGAGATGTGTGTGACTGGGGCCGCCAATGTGTCCTTTGCGGCGTGACTCCACGGTCAAACCATGCCGTCGAGGATGAAGCCACGTCCCACTCGATGCTCGGGGAGGCTTCGTGAGAAAAGTCTGGCACCATGCCGACTCGCGGCCTCTCCCAACCATGCCGTCGAACCACTCATCGATGGCTCCCAAGCCCAACCCTCCCGGCATTCTCCAACCACCAGCCTCTGCCCCCGACGCGTCGACGTCGACATCTACGACGCGCACGGGCATCGTCGTCTTCTCGGGGGGGAGCGCCGCCAATAGTCTCGTCGACGTGTTTGAGCGCGTCCGCGAAGCCAACCAGACCTCGCTGAGCTACGTGATTCCCATTTCAGACAACGGCGGCAGCACAAGTGAGATTATCCGCGTCTTTGGCGGACCAGGTACGCCCACTTTGCCTCGATGCAAACGCGCAACAGACCAGTGATCTGACACGTGCACAAACACACATGCAGGCATCGGCGACGTGCGCTCACGACTCGTGAGGCTGATCCCGGACAATGACGCCCCCGAGACAGTTGCCATCAAACACCTGTTCAACTACCGTCTGGCCAAGACGTACGAAGCCGCGCGGGCTGAGTGGTTCGAGATTCTCGACGCCACACATGGTCTCTGGACCGACGTGTCGTCGCCCAAGAGAGAGCTGATTCGCGCCTACCTCAACAGCTTCAACCTGGAAGTCATCAAGCGCATGCGGCCCAGCAGCCGCTTCGACTTCTCCAAGGCCAGCATCGGAAACCTGTTCCTGACGGGCGCGCGCCTCTTCACCGGGAGCTTCGAGGCCGCCATTTACCTGCTGAGCTCCGTCTGCGCCGTCCCCGACACCATCTCGGTCCTGCCCGCCCTCAACACCAACTTTGCCCATCACATTGCCGCCGGCCTGCAGGACGGGACCGTCATCACGGGCCAGAACGACATCTCGCACCCCAGCTACCCGACCGCGGCGGTGCCCGGCGCTGGTGCCGCCGCCTCGAGCACCGGCGTGCAGACGCCCGCCTTGTCCGTGGGCCACGACACCGAGGAACACGACAAGATTGAGGACGCCAATCTTCCCGGGTCGCTGCCGGCCCTGCGCCGACAGGCCATTGCCTTCTCCAAGGACGACGACGAGGACCTGCCGTCGCGCATCGACAGGATATGGTACATCAACCCCTACGGCCAGGAGATTCGCATCCCCGCCAACCCGCGTGTTCTCGACGCCATCAACACCGCCGGCACCGTCGTCTACTGCATAGGCTCGCTCTTCACGTCCCTGATCCCCAACCTGGTTCTCAGGGGCGTGGGAGAGGCCATCGCCAGCCCCGCCATCAAGAACAAGATTCTCATTCTAAACGGCACGACGGATCGCGAAACAGGCCCGTCAGACAATCCCTTGACGGCGTTGGACTTTGTCGCAGCCATTGCGAATGCGTGCGCCGACTCACGGGGGTGGCGGAGGCCATCCGAGGACGAGTACAATCTCTACGTCACCCACCTCGTACACCTCGAAGGCCCGGCGTCGCCAAAAGTAGACAAGCACAAGTTTGGCCAGCTGGGCATTGACACGATACGGCTCTACGGGCCAAAGGACGAGTTTGGCCGCGGCGGGCGGTATGACGCGACGGCTTTGGGCCAGACGCTGGAGACGGTGGTCGGGAGAAAAGACATTCGCATGGATCGGAGTCGTCGGAATACCCTCGTCGGCTAGCATGGTCAAACAACACGTATATCCATTATCAAGAGCTGCTTGAAAAAAAAATAAATAAAGCAGAGTCACATGTATTAGGTCGCGTATAATGAATCGTGCATCCCGTCCCAAGCAATTCGGAGCCCATTGCTTTCCCTTTCGCTACACGAAGCGTCTACGACTCCCCCATCTTTCATCGCCCCCTCAGCCCGCAAACACAATGTATGCCATGACCACGGGCCAGGCCGTCGACAGCAATATCGCGGCCAGCACCGACCCCCCGCCCACGCGTATCCTGTCCATGGGGCCCTTCCAGCGGTCGACGAGGGCGCACGTCGTGAAGATCATGGCGCAGACGTACAGGACGAGCCCCCATATGATGACGAGAAGAATGTCGCCGAAGCGGTCGCTCGGGCTGAGCACCACCTTGGACGTGTCGGGGACAAAGGTCGACGAGAGATTGTTGCCCATGGTTGCCCTCCTCGGTTGACGCTATTAATAGTGTAGAAAAAATTCGCGCAATGTGACAGACGGCGGAATAGTCGGGGCCTTTTATGCCGTGTTTTGAGCGATTAAAAAGAGTGGAAGAAAAAAAAATTTTGTCCAGCAACTAGATTCTCGCCAGCGAGTAAAACGGGCTCCCGAGAGAGAAAAGAATGGATGGATGCCCTCCACCGAAATGAATAAGCCCAAGCAAGGCGAGAGATGGAAGAGAAAAAAGGCAATGACACAATTACAGATACTTGGGAAGAAGGAGTGGAAAATGGCATGACCTGATTTTCAGTCTCGCCTTGGCAGCGGCATCCCAGCACAGATATCACATCCCATCTTGCCACGTTCCCACGTTCCCACCACTTCCACCACTTACACCACTTACACCACTCCTCGACGGCTCCCGTGACGATGAATGCGGCACCGGAAGCGCCACGGAGGACCGGGGGTCGCCGGCCACTCACAGCCGCCGGGACAGGGATGGCTTCGGAATTGCGGCTCCAAGTGTCTCAGCCTCCCAGGGAGCTGGTCGACCCGGCCATCTGGACGCCGCACGACCGCTCGTCTCAAACGTCGGCTGCCTTTTCGGAGTTTGTGGAATATACGACGCTTTGCTCCCCATTCTTCATGGGAGGAGCAAAGGACGCCGCGCTTGGGACGAACGGGGGGGCAAAGGACCAGCTTTTGCCGGGATATGTCATGTTTATGACGGTGCACATGTGGCTTTCCAGACGAGTGGGCAACTCGGGATGACATGGAGTTGTGACGGACAGCCGCACGGGTTGGGTATTTGCCCACGTCGACTCTCGGACCAGCTCGACGGGTTTGCGGTTCAGCCTCTCCAACCCCATGACATGCTGCCTATGCCTCGAAAACGCCAAGTGTAGACGCTGTTTCTTCCGTCTCGCGTCGTCGGCCAAATGTGTCATTTACATAAGCCCCATACGAGCGGCTGCCTCAACGTGTTTGATGCGCGCGACTCGCCCAACCCCCGTTGTTTCACGATGCCCTCACGCCTTTTTTTTGCCCGCCCAGGGCACGCGACACGAATGCAAAACAGCACTGCGGTACTTCACGCTTTGCCCCCGGAGGAGATCCAGGCGGGCAATCAGGCAGTCTCATCTAGTAGTTGTGCTCCATCGCGGCACCAAACCATCAATCTGATCTGGGACATTGCGGCGCCGTGTGATGGGATGCCTTGCTCCATCCAACACGCTCTGCGGCGGGCTACGGTAATTACTGATGAGCCAAAGTCAAAAGTAGGCTGTCAGGAATTCGGACCATGAGAAACCCGAGCTTTGTTGTTGGAGCCGCAACGCATCTTGTCATTCGCTCACCAACCGCCCTCGCGCAAATCTGCCAAAAGAGGAACAAACATCTCGGCATGGCCACGACCCCGAGCGCCAAGGTCCTGCCCAGCTGCAGATGGCTCCTTTGAGGGCTGGGACGCCTGAAGGAGGCGCTCGCGCACATGGACAAATCCGTGCTCCTGGGCCACGCCGACAAGATCAAGGGCCAGCGGCTCACGTTGAGCAGCCCGTTCTCAGCGCGCCGGCGCCGGGTCTGTTTCGAACGAGTCGCCGAGGCTGGCAGCCCAGTCATTGCCCGAGTTCGCTTGCCGGGCCACCACCCGGACGCGGCCCCGGCCGTCGGCAAAGAGGACGAGGCCGAGGACGTGGCGTACGCGATAGCCTGCGAGATGGCCACCATGAGGTTCGTGGAGCAGGAGCTGCCCGGCGTTGTTGTTCCCCCAGAGTACGCCTTCGAGGGCCCGGGCTCACAGCTCGCCGCCGACGCCGGTGGCGTGTACATAGAAGCCGGCTTCTACGGCAACACTCTACGCGACGTCGGGCCCGACATGTCCACCCTTCCTGTACGTGTGCCATCCCCGCCAGAGTAATCTGTCTCACCTAATTCTAGATCTCGGCTCGAGAACACATAGAACACATCGTGGCGCAGTGGGCCAGATTACACGCCGAGCTGGCGACGCTGGCGTGTCCCCAGATTCTCTGTTTGCGCCGTGTCGCCGACGGGGCTGCCTACCATCGGCAGGCTGGCGGGTGATCGCGCCGGAGACGGCGGCGGTCCGTTCCCCACGGCGTCCGAGTACCCGGGCGCTGTTTTCAAAACCCCCGTCGAC